AAAAAAAAGATTTATACTGTATCTTTGACTTACAATCTTCTTAAAAGATAAAGTATGATATTTTGTCCTAGTATTAGAAACTTTAAAAGTGTATTTCCATTTTCCATTGACTTTATGTTACTTCTTCCTTGTCTTTTATATGCACACACATACACATGAAAAAAATATGTGTAGAACGCAACATAATATTGATACTATTTCATAGAAATCTTTAATGACCTTTGAATGGTTTCATCTAATATATTTTACATAGTCCTGCATAGCTATCATTTTGAGAGCTCTTTATTCTTTGTCCAGGACCATACAGGAACTTCTCTTTCCTTCTCAATTAAGCTCTTTGTAATTTCCTATATGATATGTCTGAAGGTATTAGAGTATTTCAAGTTTGTATAACTGGAAAATACTTTTAGTCTTCAAATTTATGTTTGATAAGTATAAAATTCAAAGAGGACAGATCTTCTTTTTTCTTTCAGTCCTTTAAATTAATTAGTCTGGTTTCTCACACATTTGGGGTTTTTTCCTTCTAATGTGGAATAAGATGCTATTTAATTTTGTTCTTACATAGCTAATATTTTTATGCATATGCTTTTATGATCTTTTTCTTTACAATAAGTTTTGGACAATTTCATTTTTATGTATCTTGGTATGATTTTACTCAAATTTCTTGTGCAAAAGGTTCATTTTTCTTGGAAATGTGGTTAAATCTTTAAATATTTATTGCCTACCCCCTTCTACTTTAAGAATTCTAACTATATGAATATAAGTTTCTTGATTTTGGCACAGAGTGAGCTATTATATGACTGATCTGAAATTCTTTCTTCTTCATTTTTATTTTGGACAATTTTTATTGTTATATTCATTTAAGTTTGTGAATAATTTATTTACACTGTGCAATCTATTATTAATCTCATGTTATGTATTTCAGAAATATTTCTCTAAGATTTACTCTGTCTACATCTTATATCTTTCACATTTCAATATTTGTCTACAATGTTTAATATGTTATGTAATTACTGATTTTCAATAACATTAATAAAAAAAGAATCTGTGTCTTTTTAAAAAAATCTATGAAACACATTTTCAAAAGAATTGGACAAATTTGACTAAGGAATGCCTATTAAAAGATATTAAGGGATTACTACTAACTTTGCTAGATTAAAAAAATGTGTGCATACACAGAAAAATACACTTTCAGGATGGTGAGATAACTCAGTGGATTAAGTGCCTACTTAGGCAAGCCTAGGGACTGGAGTTCAATCTCCCACCCCACATGCCACACTAGCCCCACCCCTGGGCATGCTGAGCCAGCCGCAGAGACCACGCATAGCAGTGCACACCTACAATCCCAGTGCTGGGGAGACTGAAAACAGGAGCATAACTATGAGTCCAAGCTGTGTAGTGAGACACTGTACGAAAGAAGGAAGGAAGGAAGGAAGGAAGGAAGGAAGGAAGGAAGGAAGGAAGGAAGGCAGGCAGGCAGGCAGGCAGGCAGGCAGGCATAGGAAAAAATACTTTTAAAAATCTATGTTGAAGTATTTAGAATTGAATTATGGTATTCATAATAGTTTTCAAATACTTCAGCAAAATAAATGGAAAATATTAGCAATTATTAAATCCAGGTGATAATTCTAAAAGTATTAATTTGATTAATCTCATTTTTTGAATATTTCAAAATCTCTTTTTCTTCTTTAAGTAACCAACAAATCTATAATAAATTTAAATGATGAAACAATGGAACACATCATTTCTCTAAAATTCACATACTTTCTTTAAAAATACTGCTGTCCTCCAAAAACTCCCTGCAGTCCTAGGAGTTAGAACAAATTAAAACTGTACTTTCAGATGACATATATCTAACACAACAGTCACTGACTATACAGGTGAGATAAACTAAGAAAACCAGTAACAATAATGCTGTATATTTTGAATTCCTATTATTTTTTCCAAGAGAGGTATAACTGGGGTGTATTAAAATCATTGAGTGTCAAGATCTGAGATAATATAATAGCTCAACTCAAGTCAGGTTTCCAATTGTGGAAGTGGGGATGGGAGGTATCCCAGGTTTCTACCATTGGATCAATGGACTCTAATCAATTGATTGTCACACCTGATTCTTCAGGTGAGTAGTTTTCTAGAGATGCTAAAAAAAAGTTTCTGACAAAACTAATGTGTGGGGCCAGAGAGATAGCTCAGTTGAGTAAGTGTTTGCCTGGCAAATTCAAGGTCCTGAGTTTGATCTCTGGTACAAAAAAAAAAAAAAAAGCAAAAGCAATGTGTGTCTAAAATTTATCAAATGAGGAGAACTTAACAAGGACTTAGGCATTCAGAAGGCCTTAGATGGGCCTGGGTTCAAAAACTCAGCACTTTTTAATCCCTGTCCAGTTGGTAACTATATTACTGGCCAATCATCCAGACAAGCTATGTTGATCCATTTCTGCTCTTTATAATCTTATAAAAAATAAAATTCAAGCTATCATTCCAGTGCTTAGTGAAACAAGTAAGCACTATTATAAAATGAAAACACTGAAGCAGTACACAGAAACACAGAATGCATACTGATGGCAGCATGGTCATACTCTCAGGCCATTGTTTTGCCCTTCTTCTGTCACCAGGCCCCCTCATCACACATCCAGCACCTCATCTCTGGGTGCCTGACCCCCAAAGGACCAAGCAAGATAAAGAAATCAGAGATTCGTGATCTTGACTCTAGAAGTTTCACCCTTTGCCTGGAACTGGAAGACTTCTGATGACCTGCTCATCAGTCAAAGTGTGTGATACAATGGAGGTGTATGGTGAAACAGAAGAGAAGGCCCTGCCACAAACACATGAAAAGCTAGTAGTAGGACAGTCATTCTCAAAGAACTTCTACCAAATCATGATCATTATGTCCAAGGGAAACACCATGCCAGGGCTGGAGTTTAAGCTCAACTACCTACATTGTCCATGAAGTATAATTTTTAATAACAAAATGATGACAGACAATTAGTTTTTCAGACTTGGATATTTGGCAGCATTTTCTTGAAAATGAATAAAGAGTTGCATTTAAGAAAATTTGTAATTTTCACTAATGATTAAATCCAAGCTTTTGGGCAAAAATTAGGGTTATGGAAAATTTACATATGCCACTGTAAGCTAGATAGTTTCCAAATATTTAAACACTTCTATTCTAAAGTGGTGACATTAGCTATGTGTCAACCTGTGAAAGATGCTTAACTCAGTGATCATTTATTTCCCAAATGACCAATGGGTAATGTCATAAAACCATGCCTGAGTGAAAGTTCCATCCAAGTTGTGAGGTAGATCAATTTTTAATACAGTAAATATAATAACTTCAAAAGCATGGTTTTAGATTCTATACTGCAACTAAATTTTAGGATAATACCTTCTGCCAAATTTGTGTGTGGCATCAGGAATATTGTATCCACCATGTCATAAAATAGTATTAAAACACCCCTCTTTCTGAATTACATATCTGCATAAGACCAGGCTTCTGATATTTTTCTCAGTAAGGCAAAATACTGTTCTGCAGTACACAGAAGAATCCAGCTGTCTTCTGATAAACCAGAAGAATGGCATAAGAATCCAGCTGTCTTCTGATAAACCAGTTCTTCCCTGAGAGAAGTCTATGAAGTCTGCGATCAAATCCCCTCAGAATCTTCCTCCCTTTGCTTTATATTCCCCTCATGTTTTTCAGTTGTTCTTCCTTGGGCATGATTTGAAACTCATTTATCCCTTTTTTTACATTTTGGGTGTGGGAACATGGCCTCGCTACATAGTTTAGACTGGCCCTGAACTCAAGTCGCCCAGACAGACCTTGAACTTGAAGCAATCATCTTACCTCAGCCTCCCAAGTGCTGGGATTACAAACATGCCCCCTCACACCCAGTTTTGGTTTTTGGTTTTTGGTTTTGGTTTTGGTTTTGGTTTTTTTTCTTTTTGAGACAGGGTCTTGCTATGCAGTTCAGGCTGGCCTTGAACTCACTTTGTAGTCCAGGCTGGTCTAAACTCACAGTGATCCCTCTGCCACAGCCTCTTCAGTGTTGGGATTATGGTTGTGCATGCCCAGCTCATTGGATAGTATCATGTTAAATTCAATCACCATACACATCCCTTTCCTCTGAAAATGAGACTTCTGAGTACTAAAAATAGACTTCCTTCCAGGAGGAGCTGCTCTTCAGGATTCACCTGCCACCTGTGCCTCCTTCTTCCTGTAGAAGAGCATCTCACACAACACTGGAAAGTCAACAGGGGAAAGAAAGCCAGACTGTCTAGGCCATTAGGGTCACTTCAGGGAAAACAGCTGCAGGACTGAAACACTCACAAATCATAAGTGCCTGAGTCTAAAATCTATGTTTATGTGCCCAGGACATCAAAAAGTTCATTGCACTGGGATATGGCTAGCTGGTTTCATGTATGTTCTTTCAAATAGGATTCCCTGGCCAAGTTTTCAAATTTTGAAATCTCTCTGGATATCTCTAGACTGTTGTATCTAAAAGCCCAGGAATACATGATTTTTTCAGTTAGTACATGTTTGCAAACATCTGGATCATTTTTACTCTTCCATTGGCCCCCTCTCTCTTTCTCCACATCCTCTTCCCATCTCCAGAGTCTACCTGCCTGTTTCTTACCATCTGTCTTCTATTTTGTTTTTTAAATTATTTATTTGAGGTTTCTCATGTTAGAGAAATCATACAATATTTAACCTTCTATGTCTGATTTATTTCAGTTAGAATTACAGTCTCAAGATCCATCCACTTTCCTACTGATGACTCAGAATTATCCTTCATTATTCTTTCTTTATACAGCCATCTGTTAATTGGTACATAGACCATTTCCCTAACTTAGCTACTGAGAATTGTGTTGCTATGGACATGAGTATGAATATATCACTGTGTACGATATCATTAACTCTTTCAGGAACATACCCAGAACAGGGATATCTGCATCAAATGAAACTTTTTTTTTTTTGGTGGAACCAGGGATTGAACTCAGGCCCTTGTGCTTGCCAGGCAAGCACTTATTCTACTGAGCTATCTCCCCAGTCATGAAACTTCTATTTTTAGTTTTTAGAGGAATCTCAGCATCGATGTCCATGTTGGTTTCATAGTTTACATTACGACCAACACTGTGGAAAGTTGTCTTCTATCACCTAACCAGCATTTGTTATTTTTGAGTCATTGTTAGTAGCCACTCCTACTATAGCAACTTGGCATCTCATTGTTGTATTGATTTACAGTTCTCTAATAGCCAAAAAGATGCTAAACATCTATACTTGTTCTTTTTGAAAAGTATCTATCATTTCACTTCTCCATTTTTGCTTGGGGTTTTTATTTTGGTGGATCTAATTTTTCTGAGTTCCTTATACATTCTAGATATTAGAACTCTACCTATAAAGTAGTATTTTCCTATTCCATAGATTATCTCCTCATTTTGTTGATTGTTTCCTTTATTCTTAAGAAACTTTTAAATTTTATATACTCCCATTTGTTGGTTATTCTGCAGTTGGGCTTCAGTTCAGGAAGTTCTTGCCCATGCCTACATCTTTAAGATTTTTATTGAAGTTTTCTTTCAGCAGAGTTAGTGTTTCTGATTTTATAGCTAGGCCTTTGATCCATTTTTTGTTTTATTTTAGAACAAGATGAGTGATATAGAGCCTTACACATATATTCCTGGGAGAAAACAAGTGGTCCATGTACAGAAGAATGAACCATGTGAATGTAAGGTTTTTGAAGTGTGTCCAGGCTGTGACACTCAGAATTTCTCTTCAGAGTTACAGCTGATCTTTGATTACCCCGTTAATAGACAAAAATGTGATTTGAATACTTCAAATGTGTAGAAAATGTGAAACTCATTTCTATTTGGCTTTAGATTGCATTATGTGTTGTGGAGCAAATCACAACAAACTGATCTTCCTAATGATGCTTACTAATGTTAAAAATCAATTTGCTAAAAAAAAAAATCAATTTGCTCACAACTAATGGCACTATGCACAGTGAAACAAATTTCAGATAGTAGACCATGATACTCTTCCTAGACTAATGTCATAAAATGAGGATGAACTCAATATTGGAGTGATGCAGGTAGATCTGGCTGTACCTCTGTCACTTCCTAGCACATCCCCTCTGACCAAGGACCACCTATCCCTAAAGTAATTTGAAAGACACTTTATGAGTAGATGCTTTGCTGGCACAAGGAGCATGAACATGAACAAAACAGAGCTTTCTTTCAAGTTTCTCCATCTAATGAAGCAGAAAGAAAAAGGATTTTAAATGTAATGATAGAGAGAAGTACTGAATACATTAAAATGTAGGGAAGAGTAAAAACTTAACCCAGACTAATTTCAGATAGTAATGTAGGATTTCCCAGAATGTCAATGGCTAAGCTAAGCCTTATAAAGTGAAGAGGATTTAAGGAGGTGAGTTAAAGACCATTAGAGGATTGAAGAAGGAAGATGTGTTTCTGGCAAAGGAAATCATTCAGCCAAGACAAAAATGACATGCAAGAGCATGAAACATATGGAAGAAAGTAATACAACTAGTAGTAAGGCCTGGCGGTTCATACTGATTCATCCTGAAATAGTAGTAGTGGAAAACCATCAAAAATTTTAAGGCTGCAATTTTATAATTGCTTAATATATGAATCAGCCTTTTATTACTGAAACTCCTAACACACCTAACACCTACCATTCCTAACATACATGTCATGGAGGAAGAAATGTTTGCTTTAGCTCACAACTTCAGTGGCCTCAGTCCACGGCTGGCTGATCCCAAGGCAGAACTGGCCTGGCAGGAAGCACTGACAAAGGAAAGCTTCTCCATCCATGGCAAACAAGAAGCATGGGAAAAAACAAAGAGATGCACAGAAAAAAAAGGGGGCCAGGGACAAGAATACACTCTTCCAGGTCACAGCCCCAGAGACCCACAGCTCCCCAGCCCCACTTCCTAACAATATGCTCAACCATGAACTCATCAATGGATTAATCCACTGACAGGAGTGTGCCCCATGATACAATCACCTTCCACAAGCCCATGTCTAAATATATAAATGGCTGAAGGGACACTGGATATTAAAAGTGCATCACCACCTATCATAATCAGTGAATTCTGCTATGTTTATGCCTTACAACAAGAGAACTCAACTTTTTAACTGG